CCTAAACCCTAAACCCTACTCTAGTTTGGGTTGGTTCAGGATCCTGTCAACTGGCCTCCGAACCCGAAAGCTGAGCCCCGAAGCCCAACCTCAAACTACCCAAGCCTACGTTTTCTTCGTAGGGCCCATATAAACTCTACCTTTTAGGGTTTAGGGTTTAGGGTTTGCCTACTTTGCAAAAAGCAGGCTACGGTGGTGTAAGGTAAACCCTAAACCCTGATGGGGTTCGGACCTTCTGCTCGCAGCAAAGAGAGTCCTCCCGCGAAGCCCTGGGCTCTTATAGCAAACCTTTCTCGTAGACCTAAAGTGGCCCCAGAATGTAACCCTTCGAAGAATCCTTATCGTAATGTAGGGGCCTAAATAATTACTAGTCAATACTATTTCGAGGGCTCCTTATTACAAGTATTGTAAAGTATTGAGGCCCCTCTATTAACCCCAAAAAGACGCTCGGACCCCACCCGCACCCCAGCCTTGGAATTGCGTGCACGGCCACCCGATGTGTCCACTCGCCAATGCTCCACGTCGAAGACGACGCACAGGTCGGTCCTAGGTTGGAGGGTCCCTATTATTTATAGTATAATGTTCCCCGAAACTCTATGCTTATTATTATGACCCCTATCGTATAGGGTTAAGGGTCAAGAGCGTAGGATCAGGGTCTAGGGCTTAGGGTTTGGGCTTTGTGGCTCTGGGGGTTTAGGGCTTTGGGTTTAGAGTTTAGCGTTTAGGGTTTCCGGCTTTAGGGGTTTAGGGCTTAGGGGTTTGGGGTTCAGGGTGTTTTTTGCAACACCTGGTTTCGGTGTCTAGGGTTTAGGGCTCAAGGATTTGGGGCCAACAAGCTATGCCTGGTTCCATGCAGCCATCCCCTGCTCGGGTACTCAGACTACTCGACATGACCCTGAACCCTACAACAACCGGTTTAGGGTTTTAGGGTTTAGGGTTTAGGGTTTAGGGTTTAGGGTCTAGGGTTTAGGGTTTAGGAGTTTAGGGTCTAGGCTTGAGAATAAGACCCCATTTCAGCCGGGCTGCTCGCGCTTGAAGGGCGGGGCATAGGGCTTGTCTTGCCAGACCAGCTGCTTCCAGCGACCTCCTCCTTTCGCGTCCGCCACGAAGCCCTCCACCTGCGGGTCTAGTTTAGGGTTTAGGGTTTAGGGTTTAGGGTTTAGGGTTTAGGGTTTAGGGTTTAGGGTTTAGGGTCTTTGGTTTAGGGTGTTGGGATTAGGCTCTAAAGTCTAAAGTCCAGGTTTGTTTGAGATAGACGCCTCTTTGGCTTCTTGTATACATCCCTGCAGTGCCCTTGTTGAACACTGAAGGGGGAAAGCTCTTTCGAACCCTTCAGAACCCCTCTGCTTGCAAAAACGATGGCCTAGGCCCTCATTTCTCCTAGAGGAGCCACGTCTTTTGTTAACAAACTTGGAGTTTGGAGAGGATGCTAGATTCAAAAGGTAGTTCAAGTTCTATTCAGCTACATGCCAAGGAAGTGCGACTCTACTTCTCCTCATCAAGATACCCAAGGCAGGAGCCCCATATGCCAGGCCTTCCAGCAAACTGGGTCGAGACCGGGGACGTCCTCTCAAGTCAGAAAGGTGCTAAACCCATTATCGTAAGTGCCTCTGGAATCCGAAAAAAAAAGGACCCAAAACCCTCAAAACCCGGGAACAGTGCATCCCACAAGCACAAGCCCTACACCCTAAACCCGAACACCCTGAACCCTGAACCCTAAACGCTCTAAGCCCGAAGCCTTCAACCCAAATTCCTGAACCCTGAAAAAAACCGATCCCTTCAAGAAGCCCTTACAGCAACCGCTAAAACGGTGGTTCTCTAAATTAGGGTCCCTATTTTTAAGGTCCCCGATATGGTACGGCACCCTGATAAAAAGGATTAAGAGGGACCCTTACTTAGAGAACTACCTAAACCAAAGCTCCCTGGTGGGTCTGGAGGGACTGGAGGATCAGAGCAGAGGCTGGCGCCCACAAGAGGCTTTAGGTTTGCTATATAGGGCTTAGCTTTTGGGATTAGGGGATTAAAGGTTTAGGGACTAGGGGTTTAAGGTGTAGGATGTAGGGATTAGAGATTAGGGTTTAGGGTTTAGGGTGTGGGTTATATGAGTGGTTTGGGATGGTTTGGGGGTTCAGGGGTTAGGGTTGTAATATGGCGCTCGACTACTGACTAGGGCTTCATAGGGTGGTACAGGATGAAATACCGATGCCTTACTAGCTATATATACTATATAGTGTTTGATACCGAGGGCTTAACAGTTAGGATGAAGTTGTTAAGTCGTTTCAGCTTGTCGGGTTAACATGGTTTCGTGAACTGAAAATAGGGATCTTCATAGCTCGAATAGGGCTTTGGAGGATAATACAGCATAGAGATACAGGAACAGCAAGGGAGTACCGTTACTCGTTCTTCACAACTAACTCTTCCACCCTCTTTGTTCGAGCTTTTACAGGGTGTCGCAAGGGCTTCTGCCGGGTTTAGGGTCTCTGAAAGGACTTCTTAGATTCTTTACGTGCATTGGCACCTGCAAGGTTTTGAGCTTCTTTCTTTGGCGTCGGATTGCGGGTATAGAGTTGAGGGCGGGGGCTCCAGGGTCGACTCGAGGCTTCGCTTTCGGTGTCAGAGCCCAAGAAAGTCTGGTGTCGATTGCAAGTGTACCCACTGTCTCCCAACTTAACAATGCGGCGCGGGATACAACGAGCGCTTGAGCGTAAGGGGCAACAACGATTGAGATCGCAATGAAAAAATGTGATAAGCAATCTTAATCTTGGCCAGCGCGCGCAGCCAAAGCCATAACACGCTGAGATAAAGCCCCTTATGCTTAGAGTTCGCAATGTGCCCCCCACGATTGACGGATCGGGTGGCCAAATACGCCTCTGCCCGCCCAGAAAGTTCAAGCCGCTCCTCTTCAGTGAGCATACTACGCACCACTACCACCACTGCTACTACTGCCACCACGACCACCACTACGACGGCGACGGCGACTACTGCGACTACGACGTCGCCTGAAACCTGGACACGCCAGTGGGGTCCTTCCCAGTCATGAAGGACATGGACTTCACTCTGGCAGGCGGCTGAAGCTCGACTTCCACCTGCCAGGCAATGCGCTTTCCGGTTTAGAGTCTAGGGCGTGCGGTCTGGCGTTTTCGGCTGAGGACTTATACCACGGATGAAATGAGCGCATGGCTCATACAAAAGCAGCCTTTGATCCTAGGGGTTAGTGTGCCAGGGACGGAAGATCAACACATGACGACTTACTGGTTGCTCTTCAAAGTTAGATGAAAGGTTTCGGAATGTGCACATGAATCTGTCTGAGCTCTTGCAGCTCCTGTTTGGCATAAACCGATCCCGGAAGGCCAAACTGCAAACCCTAAATCCTCCTGAACTTCAGAACCCTGTCCCGCAGCTCTATGCCCCGAAACCTGCACCCCATACCTCGCAGAGGTGGTGGAAGCAACTACAAGCTTCAGGCTATGAAGCTGTCAGGCAAGGTTTGGGCAGAAAGGTTCGGGCTTATACGGTATAGGGTTTAAGATATAGAGCTTAAGCTTAGAGGCAAGGTTTGGGCATAAGAGCTGAGCCCTAAACCCTAAACTCGAATATGGACTTCATAGGGACCTTACAGAAAGAGTAGGTTCTCGTAGGTTCAGGTAGGGTTTAAGGGCTTCGGGCACTTTCGGACCGAGGCTCCCCCGACTTCCCAGCGGAGGCCTAAAGCCTTAAAGCTTCAAACCCTAAACCTAACGAAACCCTAAACTCCAAACTCCTAAACCCAAAGTTCTAAACCCTAAACCCTGCAACCCTAAACCCCTAAACCCTGAACCCCTAAACCCTAAACCCTGCCTCGTGGAAGGACGCGCCGGCCCGCTGGAAAACCAGCAGCGCCGGCAGCGATGCGTTGCTCAGCTCCTCGATCATCTCGTCCTGGGTATGGTTTAGGGGTTTAGGGGTTTTAGGGTTTTTTGGGCCTTTGCTGTCTGTGCGGGTTTTAGCGTTTAGGTTTTAGGGTTTCGCTGGGTTTCGCTGGGTTAAGGGTTTAGGGGCTTCGGTTTTTAAAAGTCCTGCGTATGCGGAGCGGGAGAAGAAAGCAGAGCTCAAAAATCATAAACTCCAACGGAACCCTGAACCCAAAACCTACCATGTAACAAGGCAAGGAACTCCACTGAAGCAGTTCGCGACGGTTTCCCCAAAAAATCGAACCCCACGCACTTGAGCCCGAAAGCCCAAACCGGAAACCAACAAAACCCTCAACCTAGACCCACAACCTTGTTTTTTTCTCAACAAGAAGCACTTGAGAAACCCTAAAGACAACCTCAAGCAAGCAAGTCCCCTTAGTAGCAATCTCTCCTTGAGTTTCCTACATAATTGCAAAACAAAAATACAAGAAACACCCAAACTAACCCCTGCAAGGCATTGCAAACCCTCAAAAAATCAAGGCCCCTACATGAAGCCAACCCATAGATCCCTAAACCCCTTCTTGACCCTTTGTAGGAGCCCTTACAGCACCCCTAATCGAATCCCTTAGAGGAACCCGTCTGCAGCCCTTACATACAATACCCGGCCTTTTTCAAAGGGTACCCCTAATAGAACCCTTGAAAGGAAGCTGTAGAGTACCCCTCAGAGTCATAGAATATAGAACCCTTGAAACGAAGCTTTTTAATAGAACCCTTGAAAGGACGCTGTAGAGTACCCCTGTGAGCATCTCTTGAAGGAGCCCTTGAAAGGAAGCTGTTGCACAGCGCGTCGCTTCGAGCACTCCAGGCCCCTAAACCCAAAGCCACCAAACCTTAAGAACCCTAGACCCTAAGCCCTAGACCCCTAAACCGTAGACCCTAGAAACCCTTAGCCCTAAAAAACACCATAAACGTTTAAACCCTAAACCCCGAAGCCGGAAAACCCTGCGCAAGCCGAGACTCTTTTCCCGCTGTAATCTATCCCAGAAACTCACAATCGGAGACCCTAAACCCTTAAAAACTTCGAAGTAACCCCGAATATGGGGGGGCCTTATGAATGCTAAACCCTCAACCCTGAACCCTTAACCCTAAACCCTCAACCCTAAACTCCGAACCCAAAACCCTGAAACCTAAAACCCCTAAACCCTAAACTCTCAACCTTAAACTCTAAACCCAAAACCCCTAAACCCCATAAGCCCTCAACCCTAAACTCTAAACCCAAAACCCTAAAACCTAAAAACCCTAAACCCTAAATTCTAAACCCCATAAGCCCTAAACTTACCCCTAAAACCTAAAAACCCTAAACCCTAAAACCTAAAAACCTTAAACCCTGTTCGGAAGCAAGCCGAGGCTCTTTGAGGACCGGCCAGCTGTCATTCACGGCGATGAGCCGACTGCCGGGACTTAGGTCGAAGACCTCATTGGCCGGCTCTTTTGGGGGCTTCGGGCTGAGGGGTTCAGGATTCAGGGTTTAGGGTTTAGGGTTCAGGGTTTAGGATTTAGGGGTCAGGGTTTGGGGTTTAGGATTTAGGGTTTGGGATTTCGGGTTCAGGCTTTCGGGCTTCGGGTATAGATACAGCTGTTTAGGATTCCCTAAAAAAGCTTAGGGTGTGTAGGGGCCTAGAGGTTATGGTTGAGGGCTTGAGGTTTGGGGTTTTGGGAGGAACGAGGGTTCCTGTAAAAGGGTGGTATAAGGGGGGCTAGAACGGGTCTTGGGGGGCTGTTGGGGTCGTGCGAGTTTTAAACTTAGGAATCAGCTGCAGTAACGATCATGCTTTTTCCAAGCAAGCGTCAGAGTTGTAGTAAAAAACAGAAGTCAAAGCAGAATGAATCCGATCATTCGACGGTTATTGGTCAGAATAGTTCAGCCTTTCAGGCCTCCATGAGTTTTCCGTCTTTTCAATGGTG